TTATTTATCTTTTTAAAATATAATATACTTTTGGTAATCTATAAAGATAATATTAATATAAGATATAATATAAGAATTATTTCTTTATTTATTATTAATAAAAGTTATTTAAGATAAAAAAAATTTAATAACTGTATTTTTTATTGATTTATATTTTATAAATAAGTTTTAAAAAGCTAATTAATATTAAATAAATTATTAATTTGAATAATTCAAATATTATAGATCTGATTACAAATAATCTAATAGACAATTACTTTTAAAAAGTATTAGATATTTAATAATCTAATCTATTTACTAGAATTAATAAAGTAGAATAAGAATTAATAAAACTTATAATATAATAAATCAATTTGTTAATCAATTTTAGAGATAAATGAAATTTGTAAAAAATAAATTATATTAAATCAAATATTCTAAACCTAATTTTATTTAGTTTTATTTTTAATTTATTGAACCTATAAATTTCTAATATATTTCTTCAATAAGATTAATTATGATAAAGAAAAAAATATGTATATAATAAATTGATAAAAAACAGGTGATTACAAAGTAATCAGTATTAATAAATAATAAATATATAAATAAGTTATGTTAATTAGAATTTATAAATCATTTTAGTAAGTATTACTAATAATTTTTTTTAATTGGAATAATCAGCTTTTATAATTATTATTACTAGTAATATGAAAAAAAATTTTAAATATATTTTTAAAAAATAAATAATTAAAATTTTTTAAATATTTGCATTAGTACTTTGTATTGACTTTATATTTTAATAAAATTAGACCCTCTAAATTATTTAAAAAAAAAAATAATTAATCATAATGATATGTAATATAAACTTAAAATAGATATACCAAAAAGAATATCAAAAAAAGAAAGCTAAAGAGAAGAATATAACAATAATAGAGTAATTATTAGGATATTATTAATTATAGGATTATTATAAAATAATTAAATAATAATTATTTTAACATGATACAAATATTAATTATAGATAAAAGAATTATTATATAGTTATTTTATAATAATATAGAAAAATAGCATAGAAATTTTATTATAAATAGCTACTGAAAATTATTATATAAAAGTATAAATATTAAGTAATTCTTAACTAATCCTTATAATTTAAGAAATTATTAATTCTAGAGAATTCTAATCACTTATTTAAAATTTAAATTTTTTTCTCACAAGTAAGAAGTAATTTGCATTTAAATATCTTCATCATCAAGTAAGCTTTTTATCTTACAATACTTATCACACTTAGAAAATGGGATAGTTTCTTCAATTTGCAGTATACAGCTTTATAAATGAAGACATTAGGTAAACTAAGATTCTTTTTTAAGCTGTTAAGTAATATTAAAATTGGCTTTCAATTTAAAATTTTAAAATTTAAGAAGTTATATATACTGCAATATAGTAGTTAATCTTAATTTATCATTCTTATCTAAATTTTTTTCTTTTAGTTGTGCTTCAAGAGAGTTAATAATTTGTTGAGAATCATGAATTAGATTATCATCATTATCAGATTCTTTATTACTTATTTCATCATTTTTATTAGATTTTGTAATGAGAAAAAAATGATTTATGGTTTGATCATTTTTTTTAGTATCCTTCTTTGCTTGAGCATGATGTCTTCGTTTAGTCCTTGTAGAATTTCCTGTATAAGTCAATTTACAGGTTGATGGAATGTAATTTTGCATTTGAATTATTAAAATTCAAAATAAATCTTCTTGATTACTGTCTAAATCATCATTATCTCCTCATATAATTTCATTGTTACTATCCACATCATGAATATTTTTTCACAAACTTTTTTCATTAACTTCTGCATTAATATTTATTTCAGATATTTTAATATGTTTATTACTTTTTTTTTGTAAGTTTATTTATATATTTTTCCTTTTTGAAACTCTAGTCATAAAAACTTTATTATTTAAAATAGTAATGCAAAAAAAATTATATGTGATTGCATATACATTATTCAATTTATATTTATGTTGATTACTGATAATTTTACCAAATCTTACAATAAAAATTTTGAAGTTAAAAAGTGTTAGAAATAATGTGATGGCCAAATTGAATATATTTATATATGTTACATATAACTTTTTACTAAAATAAAATGATTATAACTTTTCATATATTAATTTGATTTGAAAAATTTAAATTATACTTTTATAGCTTTTGATCTATACTATTAAGATATGATAAGTTTTTAAAATAATATTTCTTTTTTTGAATTTTATAATTATTTAAAAATAAGGTTCAAGACTTAATATAACGAGGATGCTCGAGCTATAAGAAATAAGAAATTCATCATTATTATATGATAATAATATGATAATATTTAATTGCGATTTTCTTGAAACTACAAAAATATTTCTTTTTCCCCTTTTGCTGTAACACTGCCTATATATAATAAATTTTTTTTTTTACATTTTAAATTTATTTTATTTTTACTATAGCAAAGTTCTGATTATAAAAAGTTTTGCACTATATGTTTAAATTATTATAATATAATTATTGTAATATAATTTTTTAATTTCAGCAATATGTATTGAATTAGTATTATCATAGTAAAATAGTAACTTTTAATGGAATTTATTTTTTTTACAAGCTGTAAAGATAATTACAGATATTATTTATAAAAAAAAATGTAAAAATTACTATCAATTTGAAAATTTAAAAAATTGTTATGATTATAAAATCAGAAAATAAATAGTTGAAATCTTTTTTTGATAAATTATATTTATCAATTAACCTATTAAAAAATAAAATATAATAGAAAAAATATCAAAGCAACTAGTATTTTATTTGTAATATTAGAAATAAATTTGTTAATAATATAAAAAGAGATTTAGAAATATATTTAAATTTTATTAGAATATAAATTTAATAATAGATATTATAGTAATATTAGGATTAATAGTAATATTTCATTTAATTTTTTACATAAGGATAATGTTTTTAAAAAAAATATTTAAAAATTGTAGAATCAATTCTTGTAGATAGTACAAATAATATAATTATTTTAAATATTAATAATTATTATAATATTTATACTAAAAGAATACTTAATATAACTATGACATTAATTGCATTATATTTCACTACTATTTTACTTAATCTAATCAGAATAAACTTAGTAATATTAAAACAAAATATTTATAATCCTATATTAATTAATGCTTTATTAATTAAATCAGAATTGAAAAATATTTATGTTAAAATATTCACTTTCTTATAACTGATATTAGGAATTTTATTTTGTAAATGATAAAACAAAACTCAAAGTATTAATAGTTTATAGTTATGATATTTGTTTAAAGAAAAAGGAATATAAGATCAATGAAAGATATTAACTATACTTATAGACTAAAGATAGTGTTGCAACTAGTTATAATTATATAATACTTATTTGTCACTAATTGCAACTAGTTATAACTTAATTTTTATTAATGTTGTAACTAGTTGCAATCCTGTAATACTTATTTATCACCAGTTGCAACTAATTAAAGTGTCTTCTTTATTGTAGACTTTGTAAAAAATAATCTTTATTTAATAAAAGCTTATATTAATGCTATTAATGTTATTATTTCTTTTTGATAATAAATAAATATATTGAAGAAGATAATATCATTATAGTTATCGCTGATTAGTCTAATTAAATATTATTAAGAATTGCTATATTAAGGTATCTTATTTATAGATACTTTTCTAGAATTACTAATAAAGTTTTATTATACTTTCTAATGATAAGTTTTTGTATATCTTACTGAATATCTGTGAGTTAATAATTCTCTAATATTAATTACTTTTCTTAATACTATATAAATATATATTTGGTGAAAAATACTTGCTCACAAGCTAAAATAATAATGTATAAATTTATTATTAAAACTCTTACATAATGTATAATAACAAATTACAGTAAAATTTGACTTTGAATATATTATAAAAGAAGATTCGGACGATACAATAATTAAATCAGCAAATCGTTCGATCATCGAATTTTTATTTATTACAATCTAAACGAAGTGGTACAATAATTATGGAAGTCACTGTAAATCTTTATTATTTACGCCTGTAGATTACGCAAAATATAGTGTTGTATTCAGTTCTTTCGTTTATGTATTTATAAACAATTTGTATTGTAAGCAGAAGGCTTTAATGAGTAATTATTGAATAAAAATGAAGTAATTGTGACAAGAATTTATTTAATAATATCAAATTAATCAGTGTTGCCTCAACGTCGGCGCTCTACACTTTCGCTATATCAATATATTAAACTAAGTAAATGCCAAATTCTAAGTCCTAATTAATTAAAACTACGAAATTACGAAACTGTTACATAAAAATTGAATAATAAAATACTAATAAAATCGGAAATTGAAATAAGATAATAAACAGTGTTACAAAATGCGAAATTATAAAATTAAAAGGGCTAAAATCGAAATTGTCGCGAAGGTGTAAAGGGAAGATTGCGAAGGGAATGTTTTTCAAAGAAATATGCTAAAGGCGAGCATGGGATATTGAGCTGTTTTAGGATTTCCGGCTCGTATATATGAAAGAATTTAATTAAGCCATCCTGGCATTTTGACCATTTGTCATATTGGCACCTTGAGGAGAAGATTACGAATAAAATGTATTCGTAATTTTCTCCTCCCTTGGCATACACACTGGCAAATGATCGTCGAAGGGACTAACTGTAATTTATCAAGAACGATTTTCAAGCGAAATTATGAAGGTTTCGTCCGGAATTACATTTATTTGTAACAATAGTATGTTCTGTATACTTCATAATCACTAATTATTTTTTCGCGCGAAATAATACTATAATAACATGAATTTAAATCCGAAAGGACACATCACACTTGATCATAGAAACCCGTTCAATGTTGTTCCTTTATTGAGTTCTTTTTTTTTGAATTCTTTTCTTCTTTGCAACAGGGTGAACATCAATTGTTTTTGTTGCGGGTTTGTCAAAAATCAGTTCATTTTGAGAATCTAGGAGAAAGGAATCTTAACATATCATCCTTAGCGTCCTCAATAACAGTTCCATCGATCTCTACACCCCATATTACACGTCTAGTCAGAGATTCCTTTGATGCCACACTCCAATAATCTCCAAGCGAACATAAAACACTCATTGAGTCTTCCCATTCGGACACACGACCGTAGCAGTTCAAAAAAAAAAAAGAATTCCAACGTAATAATCCCTACATATATAAGGGAGGGAATCTACTTTCGATATAACAGTCAAGAAATTCTGCGACGCGTTTACGATCTAATTTATTTGCGATCATTTCAACTATCATGGACGGATTTTTCGGATTGTTGCCACCTTCTCGAGATTCATCCTGCTTTTCACCTTCGACACCTGGGACACGTTTTCCGAAATTGTTTCTCCTTTATATTGAACGTTTTGGACCACAAGATGACACGGTGTTTCGCTTTTCTTTCGTCCATGCATGGCCTGGCAAGGCACTGATTCGGCACAGGATAATTGCAAATTTTGGAATCTTTCCTGGTTAGGACAACATTCGACTGGCACCATTGTAATATCGGCATAGTTCTCACCCTTGACATTGTAATTGAACTACTAGGATATAATTATATTTCATAAAGACGCAAAGCTATGTATATCATATTAAGAATTGCATAAAAAACTTTTTATATTATGTTTTGACTGAGTTACTCAGATTAATGCATGTTTTGACATTTGCAAAGAAATTTGCGAGACAATGGTGCTAAGAAAAAATTCGGTATAATACGTTGAATGAAAAAGTGCTAAACTTTGAGATTGATCTATGCTACAATCGTGAACTTGAATTTATTGCTTTAACACTAAACATATATGTTAATTGATTTTTTATAATTAGATGTGAGCATTAATTTAGTGGCGTATACGTCGAGTATTTTTTGTATAATGACTAAAGTTCGGCAAACAAAAATGTGACTCTGAGATTTTCAATTATCCCCAAATAAAAGTAACGAAAATCGGAGATTCTTCCGAAAGTGAAACTATAGATTATCTAGTTAATAGGCAGTAAAGAAGTTGAATTAATTAGTGGGTCCTGCAGTATGTGGCGAAAAATCTTTCAGAAAAACAAAATCCTACGAAGGTAAATATTTACACCTAATGAATTACATACCTTATTTAATTATAATTAAATTTGAAAATATCATGAATAATTTATGTATGATTTTAAGTTTAAATATCAAACTTATATTAGTACTTTACTTCCATTTAAGACGCGTTTATATAAAGAGAATTTAAAGAGAATTTAGCGAAGAGAATTTTAAAAAAATTTTTACGTAATCATGGAATTCCGGATTCGGCACTTCAAGTCGAATAACTCATGCCAATTATCATCACTAATATGACAAAAAAAAAGATCATAAATTTTCTGTTTTCTTTCGGATTGTTGGTTTTGAAAACCTCTGTAATTAAACTTCATTATTAATCTTCTAAAATCTCATATTCTATAATAAAGTCTATAATGGATAAGACATTTTCCTAGTTCGTTGACGCGCAACATTCATTTTATTCTGCATTGGAAATTTTAAAAAGCAATTCAAAAAAAAATTCCTATTTTCACACGGACGAACACTCATCCAACAAGACCTAGCCAAGTTGGATATTGCCGAAGTTCCACCTGATTTACTGTTATGCGAGGTTTTTAAGGTTAATAATTGACATGATTTAATATTTTTTTTTTTGCAAAACGATATCTGAATTATGATTAACGATCATGAGTGAAACACGTGAAAAAATTAGGTTCAAATTACCATATCGGTACAATTGAACTAAATATTTTAAAGTTCTATCAAATTTTAATTTATTTTATTTTTTTTTTATAATTACGAATAATCTATTAGAAATATAAAGGAATGTAAAGCTTTTGAATTTTTTTTTTTTTTTTTTAATAAAAAAGGAAAATTTTATCTTCGAAATTATATACAATCCGACAAAAGAAATTTCTGTTGATTTAATAATAATCTTTGATAAGAACGAATTATAAATTAAATTTTTTTGATTTCGAAAAATTCACTGAACCAGAAGTTGGTTCTTGATCATACAACAAGTGATTCCGGTTCCTTTGGTGGAGCCGATTCCGATTCCGGTTCCGGTTCCTTTGGTGGAGCCGATTCCGATTCCGGTTCCTTTGGTGGAGCCGATTCCGATTCCGGTTCCTTTGGTGGAGCCGATTCCGATTCCGGTTCCTTTGGTGGAGCCGATTCTGATTCAGGTTCCTTTGGAGGTTCCGATTCCGTTGGTGGCTCCTTTGGTGAAGGTTCTTTTGCTGGCTCTTTTCCGCCACCAGAAGCAGGAGTTACCGTGAAAGGTTCACCAGTACCTTTAACCTCAGGGTTAGACTTGAGAGCGACTTCAACAACATAATTAGTTCCAGGAGAATATTTATCATCGATTGAGAATGGCAAACTTCCAGCAAGAACAGTGGACTAATTTTTTTATAAAGGATATTAATTTTTTTTTTTTTTTAAAAAAATTAACTTGCACGAAAATGTCAATCACAACAACAACATACATCAGCGCTAAAGATTGGCGTAGGATCTCCTTCTGCGAGGGTAGAAACAGTTACTGGTTCTAAAAAAGTCAAACATGAATACAATCGTTTTTATTAGAGGATTTCAAAATCGTAAGAATAAAAATTTAAAATATTCATTTGAATATTGTGAAAGAAACATAAAAAGGAATGTGAATTTAAGTTTCGTAATTTTATTTTTAGTTTTATATTTTTATTTTTTTAATTGAAAATCCGAATTTTCTAGATTCCTTTTTTTTTTTTTTACTAACCATCTTCTTCAATTCCTGTTGACCACCAACTAGCGACTTGTTCAGAACCTTGGGACCAAGGACCTGAACCTGGACCAGCAATTACAATTTTGGGTTCACCACCACCTTCTGGTGCTTCTGGTGCTTGTGGAAAAGGGGTAGAATAAACAAAGGCAACAAAGATCGCAAGAACCAAAGAAAAAGTGATGGATTTCATTTTTTTTTTTTTTTAATTTCGTCGTTGAAATGTGAAGAAAAAAAAAAAAGGATGGAAGAGATATCAGCTCGTTTATATAGAATTTTTCTTTTTTTTATTGTCGATTCGATTGCCTTTTTTTTTTTATTTAAAAGTTATCGTATTACTCCTCTGACGTGGCTTTCGGAAAAAGCCATGATGTTGATCAAATAAAAAAACCTTAGCCTCCTTTAATTGTTTAAAGTGATCATGGGCTTAGTGCCGGTTTTTTTTTTTTTTAAAAAAAATGTTCTTGTTTTAAATTAATAATAAATGATAAAATGATAAAAAGCACGGCTTAGAAAATATTTGTTCAATATGTGCGTATCTTTCTTTTTATCGTTAAAAATTTAAAATTTAAAATATTAAAAAGTTATGTATGGCTTAGGCGTTAACGTCATAAATCAAGAATTAAATGTTTCTTGAAATCAATGTAAAGGATAGGCGAAGTTAAACGGAAAATTTTTAAAATGGATGATGACTATCACAAACATACGTAATTTCTTCTTAAGCAAAGTAGTGGGGACTGTTGGCTAATCGAAGAAAGAAAGGTATCATCATTAACACCCAAGAAAAGTCTAGATCGTTATTAAAAATTAAGTGAGATCTAAGCCGAAATAGACTGTATTACACAAATTGTTTCAATCTTTATCAGGGCTGGTGTAGGATTACGAACCAACATTTTTACAAGAAACAAAAAAAAAAAAAAGCCATTTCCTTAGATTAAATTCCCTCAGCCCACATTTTTAAAGTGAAGGTGATCTCGTAACATATCCTTCGAAAATATAACAAAATCTTTTTTTTATTATTCGTACAATATACAAACTTTTGTAAAAATTTTAATCTTCTTTTTTAATACTAATCTTTTCTACCTTCTCAACATTCCAATACATGACCATTTGTATAGCTAAAACTACGTTAAGTACGGAAGCTAGAACATAACCGATTAAAATCAAGGAATCATCAACTTCAGACAAGGTGGTGAATATTCTAGCTAAAGAACCGGCAGTGAAACCAAACACGGCAAATGAAGACAGTTGACCCGTACTACCATTCTTATAATTTGTTGCTATCTGTGGAAACTTGGAAGCAAGAGAAATTGGTATGGTGATCGCTTGAAGAAATGACAAGAAAGCATCGTTAACTATCGCGGGAGATCCAAGGACATAAGAGATTGCGACAATGGTAATACCAGTAAAAAACAGATCTCTGGAGCGACCCGAATAGTTAAGAATTAAAAGTAATATGATGATATTTTGTATGGTCAAAAATACTAATTCTCCAAACGTACTAAAAGGATTTCCTTGTCGAAAATTATAAGCCAATCCAACGCCCATAGCACACGTTTCCAAGATATAGCTTGACAAGCTAAGACCACGAGCTGACCTTGAGCCCATGATTTTGATGATTTGAGGTAGCTTGACCAATGCACCGCCCAAAACGATCCCAAAGCCAAGACCTTTAGATAATAAAAGCTTTAAACAAGCCGCATCAGTAATATTAAGATCTTCTATCAACGTTGTATAACATTTTTCTCCTATCAATTGAACAGCAGGAGCTTTGATTATTTCTGGAAGAATCATTCTGAGTTAAGTTTAAAAGATAAGTTCAATTTCAAAATAATTATGTATATATATATATATATAAAAAATAATAATAATAAATAAATTCAAACTTACATTAATTACTTAATACTGGATACCGGATTATTAGTAAACTTTAAATTACTTTTAGAATAAATTAAATTAGACGAACAACTTCACGACTTTTCTAGTAAATTTTGCGATCAAAAAAAAAAAAAAAAAAAAAAAAACTTACCGTAAAATAAAAGGTGACTAATTTGATGCTTAATTTAATAATTTAACCTGTTCTTTTAATTTGTTATTCGTTAGAATTTATTTATTTAAACGGAAAATTTTCCCCACTGTTCCACTTACCAAATTAAAAATTTGTAGGTGCCAACCTGCTTAAAGTTGACAAGCCTGTTTAAAATAAAATATAAAAAACACATGTAATATTATTAATAAAGTTAGATTATCATTCGAAAAGATTTTTTTTTTTTCCTCTTGAATAAGGAGAAGAAATAATTTATTAATGAAAACAAACCAGCAAAAAAGAAAAAAAAAATCCAGGAGAAGTTTATGCAACCTGATAAATAAATTTTGAACTGTTATATAATAATCTTATCCAATAGATTTTTTACACGAATTACTATTTTTGGTAATATTACTGCGGAACAAACCTGTTTTCGCGGTTTGTTTAAAACGTTTAATTAAAAAAAAAATGCACCCGTTGTGTTCTTTAAATACATGACACTTTTGTGATAACCAAAAAACTGTAGAAATAATTTAAAAAAAAAAACATGAAGTTATACGAAAGTCTCGAATTATATTTATTTTTTTATTACAATAGAAATATGATTATAATAATAACTCTCATCATATGATATGAGCTAATGATATGTCCTTGAAACTTATCGTTTTGTTTAGATAAATATGAAATTATAAAATGAAATAATTGTATTAAAGAAATTATATTTGCTAAAAGACAAACACTAAGATTCGCAAGCTGGAGCATCGGGAAATTGACTACAATCCATATCATCTAGAGTCCAATTAGATTCATATCCGTTAACTCCATAACATACGTCATGATCCGAATTTCTCCACTGATCAGTCTTATACACTCTTACATGAACTTCAAATAACTCATTTGGTGCATTTGAAGTATCCATCAATGTACAATTATTATTACAATGTACGTAACCAGTGTCGTACCACACATGTCCTTTAAAATTTGATACATCCCCTCTGCAACTCGTATCAGTATAAATGTTAGAATGTATTCGCACACGAGTCGCTATATATGATTTACATAAATAGACCCAAATTAAGTGAAATTCATTATAACAGAAAGATAAATTATTTTGATATAAACATTCGAGAGCTTTACCTTTAACGATGTGAATCAATACAAAAAAGTTGATGAAGAAGAAAATTGTGGAATACTTCATGGTGAGCGTGATAAAATGTTTGATTAAATTAGAAAATTAACAAGAGATTGCGGTTTTTTTGCTCCTTATTTTAGCGGCAGACAGGACATATTTATAGAATTTAAACTCGGATCGCCTTCATAAAAATTTAGGGGGAGGCATATCGACTAGTTATTTTTCATATAGATGTACCTTGTCTTTAAATATGGATGTTTCAATATATATTAAAAAGGTCTAAACACGTATTTATTATTTTAAATTCAATTTTACAAAAATATTCAATTCAAATGTTTGAATAATAATAAATATTTAGTAAATAAAGGTGAAATCTGAAATTTTTATCTAATTTGGTTCCGTCATTTACTTTTATGAATTAAGCTATAATTTTGAAATTAGTTCTTTTAATCTTTGCGTTTAATTTTGAATATCATTATTTGATGATGTTGACTGCAGTATTAGATTTTTCAAAAATGATGTATTTACCATTAAAAATTTGCCATAGTTTTTTTTTTTGTTTTAACAATAATAATTGTTAATTGACGAGCTTTTAAATCTTGCTTTTTTTATTGAATAAAGAGAATATACTAGGGAACGGAGCCCGTTGTTAAGTCCGGAATTTTATCTCGACTTTTGTGCAATTGAGGGGCGGACAACGGAGAATTGTGTAACCAAAACCTGTACAATATAGTCCTTGACTGATTAATAAGTTTTTTTTAGTAGGAAGGAAAAAAGCTTATAAAACAAAAAGTAAACAAATTTACCTTTTTTGCTTGGTTTCTTAAAAAGTGATTCTTACTTTTTTTTTTTTTTTTTAAAAAAAAATCTAATATAAATGACGAGAAAATGAACTTTCTCTTAATCAAACCACATGATAAATTGTCCATTTAACTGATCGTCATTATGAATTGGTATAAATGTTTTTGTTATGGTGCAAATTCATGTGTTATCATTCCGTACGTTGTAATTTCTTTATCTTTGAATGTACGTGTATAATAGTTTTTTTTTTTTAAGAAAAAAAAATATCAATAGTATTCAATATACACCGATCTCTTCTTAACTTAATCAAATTTCCGCCCCCAAAATACTTGGAAATTATTAAATAAAAAAAAAGAAAAATGTGGCATCGATACACACATCATTACCAAATGCTATTTGACTTTTTGAAGATTTTCTATGCTTTGTCAGATGATTACCATTACCATTATAATGTTTAAAAGGACGAATACCTAATTTCCCTTCGTATTAATAATTATTTCCGGATTTTCAACAGTAACCAATTTTATTTATACTATAATTAGAATTATTGCCGATCAACAATATAAACAATGTATTATGAAAAAAGTCATGGGAACGTTATATAGGACATATCGATATATCTTTTTTATTTATGACATTAGCATTAATTATAACAATCAACTCATATGACAAGATTAAAAAGAGCAGAAAGAAATTCGACTGCGGCTAGGGAGAACTCTCTGTAGGAAAATTGGTGAACGCGAAGCAAGCCATTTCATGAATGCGGTTTGGTTGTTTTCGTTTAAAAGATGTACAATACATAGCCAATTCTTTCTTCAAAAAAAACGTACACTTACCAAGAAATAACATCTATGAGTGATTTCTATCCCTTAACCCACTTGGAGTGCACATAATGTGTTTACATTTAAGGCTGTAGCCCCCATGGCCTTAACAATTTGGGGCTTCGTCAATAGAAACATCTTCTTACTTAATAATTTATTATGTTATAAGATGTGTTTCTATTGACGAAGCCCCATTTGGCCTGTACAGAAAGAAAAAATAAATAAATAAATAAAATTACGAAATCAAATAAATATAACCCAGCCCACTTCTCCGTTGTTGGCTTGGTATCTGTAAATTTAAACAATAAACTTTTAATTCGATTCGTTGAATTAAATACAAGACAATATCACAATCACGCCTATATGAAGACACGAAAAAGGCAATAGTAAATGAATTTAACGATTCCTTTATTGAACTCTTGGTTTATCCTAAAACCTCAACTTGAGTTACTTTTCAACTCAAGGGAAAATACAAGATATTTATATAAAATAAAATAATATAAAATCAACTATAACAAATATAACAAAGAGAATAAATAATATAACTATGATAAATATAATATATATAATAAATAAGATATAATTAATAAATATGATAAATATAATCCATATATCTAATATGTCCACTTGATCAACGTTGATAACTTTAGCAACTTTATCAACTTCGTTAACTTTATCAACTATGTCGATCATTTAGATCACATGACTTTATTTTAGCGCAGTCACAGATCACGGCTTCACCGTCTAATAAAATAAAGAATATTAAAATGATAATAAGGTCGTCATTAAAGAATTGCTTTTTATTTATTTTGTCAATGAGTTGTGAGAAATAAAAACTTGGAATCTTTTCGAACATGTAATATATATTTATATAAAACATTGCAAAATCATATTATCATTCTTTGCGAAAAGCTTTGCTCCGAACCATTTTTTTTATTTGAACCATGTCAACTTTTGGAGATAATCGATTACGTAATCGCGCGTTAACCTGTACCATTGGAGCATAATCACGTAATAATACATAATAAATCATAAGATCCGTGATTTAATAAAATACAGCAGCGAACTTTCTGTTTCTGGAAAATTAAAAGTTCAAGCTTGCTTTTCCTAAGTTGATTACGTCTTCTAAGCTCTGTATCAACCAAAGTCTAGGATGTTGTTAATGAAATTGGGGTCCATATAGTAACCGATTTGCATTATTAGTAGTTAAGAGGTCCACAAGACGCACATATCCTCTCAATTAAGCAGAGGCAACAATCAATTTCCTAACATCGCATTACATTAGCATTGCAAGAATACTTCTAGTCGGGACTTGAACTCCCTCCATAAAAATTTGGCTACTCTTCGAGGTGATTAATGCATTATTGTACAACTGTTAATTATTCAATCCAAGAACTTCTTATCGGAAGTTATTAGGCTTAATGAAGTTTATATTTTAAAGGTTGAGGGTTTCTAAGAATTCTGTGAATTTAGAAATGTAAAATTCATTTTGAAAATGATTTTGCCATATATTTATTTACGTGATTTCATTAGACGTTTATTATTCTTTATTTTATTAAACAATGACGAGAAATTGGGAAATGTAGAAGTGGGCAAATATGATATACGTTTATTTAATTTTATTTTTACAACTTTTTTTAAATTGTTTTGTTCAGAACTTTGGGTTTCATAAAAAGATACACTTGTTTGCGATAAAATTCGATCAAACAACACGAGTAGTATCATTTATTTATGAACTTTATTTATATCCTTTTTTTTTTTCTTAGCTTATTGCGATGAATATTTCAATTATGAAGCCGAAATAAATGAAAAAAATGAGTCTTCATGTAAATGGACGAAAGAAATTACCGAATCATTTCTGAGATTTTGAAAAATAAAATTCAAGGATTTGAAAGACATGATGCCTTACCTAAGAATCAATATACGAATGGCGATGTTACTGCGTAAAAATATCAAAAATGTCATCAATTATGTTAAATATGTTTGCTAAAATAATTATACATTACATTTCTTTCTTATATTTGTGTTATTTTTTATTTTATTAATTATTTTCGCTATATTCATTATATTTGATATTTTATTAAATTTGCTCGTTCATGAACTGACTGGCTTCACGTTCACCGAAATTCCTATAGGGGAGTTACTCCTCGATCGATCATGTATTTCTATTCTATCTGCTCTTTGTTATTATCATGTGAATAATTATTCTCGTATGTATGATTTAATTATTTCTTGCTAATGTCATAAGTAAAAAGATATATTGATATGTAATAAATAAAGTTCCCATAACTTTTTGAAATGTATAAAGACAAATCATTTAAAAAACAATTCTGATCATGCAAGTTAGCAATAAATACTGTCTTATTCGAAAATCAAATGTTTTTCATGAATAAATATTTCCCGAGAAATAAATTAACCTAATTACATGAAGGTCATCTCGCTGATATTAGGTGTTGCCAAATTTTAATTTTCCTTATGCATATGAAAAATAATTATCAATAAATTATGTATGTTAGAAAGTTGTGTGATTTTCATCGTTGATCTTTCACTTCTCAATATTAAAAATTGTTTAAAGTGATGATACCACATAAGTTTATTCTTGGAATTATCTAAAGTTTCCTCCTAACCAAATCATCTCAATACCCCAATGACTATCTAAAGCATCATTCTAGAAGTCGGAATTGAAGTAAAAAGCTTTAACCGTTAATATATAGTTAATATTTCTTAAACAGTTAAAATTAAATTAGGCGAGTATTATGGATTTGACCAGAGTTAGCAAATATTTTTGCAATAATAAAAATCTTAATTCATTTCGGCTGGAATTAAAATCAACAACTTTAACCGATAAAAGATTTTTTTTTTAAACGGTTAACATGTTAACCGTTTTAAGCGGTTAATTAACCGGTTAAAATTAACCAATTCCAACCTCTACCTAATCCGAGTCCCACTACAAGAGAATCTGATAATCTCATGTATCCTTTTATAAAAAAATATCAAGTTCTTTTCATGCAACTGATATGCTAATATATTTACAATAGAATCGCTCTTCCCTATAACCATTAATTGTTTTAATTTAACATAAAAAATTACTCTCTCTCCACTCAAATATACCCCTTTAACAATCTCTTTATTAAATGATTTTTAATGCAAAATATTTTTCACCATATTTAGCTCTTTAAACTTTGCCAATATATTTATAAATTTATTGTATTCGTAACATTTATGTGCATTTTCTTTATACAATTTTCTATCCATTCTATCAGTAGACTTTTTATTTAAGAAATCGTGAAATAGAGAATATAACGATAATAGTTAGTGAATTATTATGATGAGGAAAAAGAGGTTTTAAGAATAAAATAATAAAACACTGGCGATTTTTGGCGCTAATACTGTAATTTGATCGTTCCTTCTAAATCTATGGTGGTAATTCTGAGGGCAATCCACCGGGACATGGAGATTCAGGAGATGAAGTTTGATTTCTATTTTCCGCCTTCTTCTTTAATGGTGTATCGTCTCCTCTTGTATTATATACAACAATTGCTTTATTTACTGCCTTGGCCGTTGACAAGACATCAGCCTGTAATAACAAAAAAGTAGTTATTATAAGTATCTAACAAGGTATCTACAAATATCCATTTCAATGCTTTACCTGCCAATTCATTAGATTTTTTAAGTCGTTAGCAAATTGTTCAAAATCTCTAAAGGAGGTGGGTAGTTGGTAAGCATAAAGCATTGAAGTATATATATTGATGGAATTGGTTGAATTTAATATTTAATTTCAATTAACCCATCTATAAGAAAGTATTAAGTATATATAAATAACTTCTTCATAATAACTGGTTTCTAATTGTGATACTTACTGAAAGATTGTACTAAATATACACGTGCACGGTTCTTTGGTACAGTTTTTAATAATTTGTTCAGAGTTTTCATTGAGTTTTGACACAATTTTAACTGATTGCTATCTTTTTTGAATAATGGTGCTTTTCTTCCATACAAAAATTTAAACAATAATTATGACCTAGTCTTTACCAGTTGTTCTGATTACTTTGTATAATCCATCAAATTTATAGTCTTTTGTATCTGAAGTAGTTTGTTCAATTCTTAGTTAAATAGCAAAAGATTAGTAAGATTAATATATCAAAACTTCAAATTTTAAATTGGTATTTACCATATAACATCTAATTTGTCTTAGTGTATCCTAAATGGTCAATTTAAAATATAAACTATGATGTCAATGGTAAAAGTTCTTTCTAAATTGAGGCCTTTATATTTGATTTTCATTGGAACTTCAAATCAGACAAAATTATTTATAAAAATAAGTAATAGTATGAAAATATGTTAACGTTAATATAAAAAATTACTTACAAATATGTTATATTTGTTAGGCAATATTATGCATTTTATAATAATAAGAATCAAATCTTCTAGAACATAGAATTTGCATATAATAGTTAAAATCTCAGCTTGAATACATACATCCTCAGTAAATTGTTTGATATATTGTATATATTTAAAGGTTAGTTTTTAATTTTTCTTTACAATAACTTTTTTAAGTCAGTTAAGTTAATCTAAATTAAGATTCTTTTTAACTTTCTTATACATATCCTTATTAGAGAGATCTAATATGCCTTTAAGACATATTGAACTCATATAATTTTCTCTTAATTTTATTTTGGTATTCAACCAAGATACTGAACAACTTATTGCAAATTTCTACTTCATCCTAGAAGATAAGTATGAATAAGCAAAATATTATACAAACATAAAGTTAGAAAAAAGCTAAAATATCTGTTTGTAATTTCTAATTTCATCATCTATATTCAAATTACTTTCTTCTAATTCATAACCTGCACTTTCATCATCTTATTATAAAGAAAGCTTATTAAATTTCTATATATTTTAAAAAATTATACAAAAAAGACTTATAGATTTTGCTTTTTACTAGAACTACTTTCATTATTTTCTAAATTATATTTTTATATTTTTGTATTATTTTACTAAATTTCATAAAGCCATCAGAAATAAGCTAATAAAATTTTATTATTAATTCTGTATTGTTCCATAATTAAGTAACTATACATATCAAAATAATTTAGTAAAGATAGTATACTATAGTAAAAAAGTTATATGTTACATGTATAAAAATGCAAAAAGTACCTTTATATATTTGATTTTAACAAGCTTAATAATCTTCTGATTTTTAATTTCTTCTAATTTCCTTTTGATTTGATAACAAATCTTAAACTATTTTAAAATTTTCGTTATTTTTTGTAAAGATTTTCATGTCTTTATCATGTAATATTAAAAGAATGATTAAATTTAACAAATGATTTATAATAAAAATTAAACTCTTATTTTTTTATAGAGTATAAAGACTATAACGAATAAATAATTCAATACTGATAACAAGTAATCAATCTTTTAGATAATAAACAGTCTCCTAGCTCAATTTAATATTTTTGTTATCTCTTTAGATTCATAGTAATAAAATAACAAACAGTCCTTTTATAATATACACTAAACTACATTAAATTATCAGATTTTTTTATATATATTAAAATTATATATAAATTACAATTTTAGTTATTAATTAAATATAATTTTTGTGTAATAAATAACTAACAATAAAAATTATACCAAAATAATTCGCAGATTTTATATTTATTATAAAATAATATTTATATTTTAATAGACTAATATTTAGTGTGTCTACTTTTAGCCTTAATTATTGCATTAACATGATTAGATAAGCTTAAAATTAAGTGATGTATCATTTCTATGCTAATTTTTCTCCATTCCTCTTGAACTATATTTATTAATTCCTGTTTACATTTAGGTAAAGTCTTTCTTTTTCTAATCTGCTGATCTAAATGATTTCACAGGTTCTCAATCGGGTTAAGATCAGAGCTTTGTGCCACTCAATCTAAAATTGGAATATTATGTGTTTTCATCCACCAAATGTTATAATTTGATGTATGACATGAAGCTCCGTCTTGCTGAAAAATAGAGTTAGGATAGTTACTAACCTATAGTATGAAGTGGTTAGCAAGAATATTGATATATGCATCAGAATCCATACTTCCTTCTATTACAACCAAAGGTCCAACCTTATGCTAACCAAAACAACCCCAAAACATCACTGAACCACCATCAAATTTAACTGTAGGTAAGATACAATTTTTATTATAAGCTTCTCCAGGACTTCTCCAAGCTCTTATTCTTCTATCTGATTCAAAAAGAGCAAATCTGGACTCATCAGACTATATTATCTTTTTCTATTTATTACCTCAGTTTCATTTCTCTCTACTCCATTTTAACCTATCCTTTTGTTATTTTGGGTTAAAAGAGGTTTCTTACGAGTGACATAACTACCAAGACCTTCATCATAAAGGTATTTTATAACAGTATTATTATGCAATGTGGTATCAAGACTAGAGTTTAATCTGCTTGTTATATCACTAAGAGAAGCGAACTGATTATTTTGAATGATATATTGTAGAGTCCATTTATCACATTGATTAAGTATATTAGGACGACCAGGACGCTTCTCAGGTATTGCAAAACCTGTTTCTTTGTATCTTTTTATAGTATCGTTAATAGTGCTAATAGGAATACCAAGCTGAGTTGAAATAACTGTTTGCTTGGTATCACTCAGATATGCACTAATAATTCTTTTACATTGAGCTTCAGACAGCTCGTTTCCACGTATTTTTATTTTGAAGAAGATAAAGAATATGTATGTATTATTTTTTTTATTATTTTTATGTACATTAAGAAGAAATTGTGAATTTATTACAGACACGATAAATCATGTAATTATAAATCTGATAATTTAATGTAGGTTAGTGTATATAATCTATTCTACAATATGTTATTCTATATATAATACATCATTTAAAAGTTCTCATACAGATCAGTTGTCTTTTGTCATATCTTTTCCTTAATAAGTACATTTTTTTTATGTAATTAATATAATTACTTTTTTTTCAAATAGCTCATATAACCTATATCAAACAATAAAGCCATCAAGATTTTACATTTCTAGTAAAGTAATTTGTAAATAATCTTTCTTCTTAATAATCTTCATAATAATTTGATAACAAAATATAGAAATTGTGAAAAATTAGTTATATATTATTAATTCTACACTCAGCCTGTTAAATTTAGAGTAATGATAACTTAATAATAGAAAGTAACATGTGAGAAACTACTAAGTTACTATGGAATAAGTCCTATTATAATCAATCTTAGATTATACTTTAGATAAGTAAAATAATTTTAACACTGTATAATAACAATAAACACAATTGACACGTTGAAGAATTTTAATATGTGTAGTTTAAAAAGAAATTTCTTTATTGTAGAGATTTGTACACTGTTAATAGAAGAAATTGTAGCTCCAAATATTACGTAGGATATCTCAATTAATGATAATCTCACGTTAGATGATATCACTGCTATGCCAAACAGTAATTAGCAATAATTTCTGATTCGCTTATTACGTCTGTTTCTTCTGTATTTTCTACACAGTCTGTTTATTCTGTTTCGCCTATAATTTCTTTAACATCTGTAATTTATTTTATTTCTTTTTATTATTTTTATTATTTTATTATATTTTTATTGGAACATATATCTATATTTAGTTAATTTATAACGTAGCAAGTAGTTAGCTATAACAAATTAATTTTGTATAAATAGAATAGCTTTTTGCTTAAGTTGTAAATTAACTCATTTGTAAGTTCCATACGAGTTTCAAGTTATAAATAAAGAAATCAATTTAAATCTACACAAACTACTTTTCCTTTGACGTTGTCCTTTATCTAAGATTGTTGTGATATACTACACTAACTTGCATTGAGTTCATCATTACGAGTTCAACTAACATATCTTAAATTTTAAGATGAGATAAATTGCTGAGTTGATTCAAGTATAATAGTTACCTGTAGGATTTAAAGAAAATCCTAAGATTGAAAACTCTAACATGTAGAATCAGCTACCACAGCCTTTCAACCTAAACATTAAGATAAACAAAAATAAATCTAGTAACAATTTAGTGATTCCTACCAGGAAATAAAACTTTTGAGAAAAGTTAAGAATTGTGAATTTAAACGAGTTTAGACAAGAGAACCAATTACACGACCTCAGTCACAGACCAGAGATTGACCCAAAGGAACTTCTTGAAAGAGATTTGTCTTATTTAACTTGTTATCCTCTTTATACTTTAGAACCTGAAAACTTTGAAAATTTGTGGAATTGGTATCAGCTCCAATTCAAAGCATATAGATATACTGGCATTACTCTTGACCTTTTTATTATTATTAGTCAAACTGTTTCTGGGTTTAATTCACATTCAAATGATCGTGATCTTTTTAAGATCTTTGTTGCTCAAATTAGTGTTCTAACTTGAAGTTACAGATATAATTCTATTGAAACTGAATTACCCCTGATTACTCAATTAATTTTAGTATTTATAGATACTGATTATTTTACAAATAATCTTTCTCCATTTGTTAAGTGAACACAGTCTTTAATTATCTATAATGATTATTCATTATAAGAAGAATTAAACGTGACTCCTCCAAAGAAAGATAGCACTAGTTAGAAATCAGGCAATTCTCAATCTCAACAGACACATCAACTTAGAGACGAAAAATCTTATACCTCTTCTATGCAATCTACTAGAAGAAAAAATACTTCAAATATCCTTACAAGCACGGAAAGGACACCTGAAAGACCATCAAACACAGATACAGAATCTGAAATTAGCCAACTTCAACCTCAATCACCTCAGTCTACTACTATTAAAACTTCTTTTCAAGAAACTGTAACTTTAGATAATTCAGATATTGAATCAGACAATGGTCAAGTATATCTTAATAGTCCCTATAACTTTAATAAGGCTGAAGTATATAGGATTGTAGAAGAAGATA